TATATATATATATATATATATATATATATATATATATATATTGAGTTAATAAATATTGGTCAAATACATAAACAGATCCCTAAAATTGTTGGATTTTTTCTCTCAATACCTCAACTATGTTATTTCTCTATCGAATCATTGGATCAATCGTAATTTGTTCTTTTTAAACACTGTTGGCTGATGTGGGATCAAATTTAGTGAAGGGTATTGATTACACAGTTTCTTTTCATTCTTTCAATCAAAATCACTACAATACAAACACAATTGATGGCATTTACAATAGAAAAGGCAATCAAAATTAGTCAACAGTGTTTGAAAGAAACAAATTATGGGTGGTTCAATGATTTAATAGAAAAATGACGTAGAGATATCTAAAGGGAAAAATCCAACAAGTTTAGAGATCTGTTTTTGAGTTTGGCCATAAATATTGGACATTTATAATTTTTTGACAACATGTAATTTGATTACTTTCAATAAGTTATTTGTCAGTGCAGTTAAATTTCTCTATGATAACGTTATTTATTTAGTCTTCAGATTATTTTTTTTGTTATTAGAGTGAAATGTCATTATACAAATACATAATATAACATAAATATTAAAATATTATTATAAATGATAAATATTAAAATATTATTATAAATGATTATTGTTATATAGATTATATTTAAAATCTAAAGAATGCAAGTGAAGCTTATTTGGAACATGTATATTTGTAATTTCTTGAACAAACTTAATAGAGATAAACTTTTATCTTTTGAATTTTTTATTTTCAACTAATTAAATTTGTAATTTTAAATATTAACTCGCAATATTTTGTGTATGAATCTCTTCTAATAAGATATATATATATTGCTATCGATTCAAAATGCTTATAAGAAAGGACTAGTAAAAATTAATTATTAGGGATAGAAATCTCTCTATAATAATTATTCTTTGTTATAATATTTTACTCAAACGACATAATTATTTTGAAACCAATTTTCATTAAAAATTGATTATATTTCTTAGGTTGTTACTAGAGGAGGATTCAATTATGACAATTTATGCACAGAAAAAAAATATGTTTTAAATTACATGTATATAAAACTAAATTGTTTTACCTTTTTTTTTTTATAATTTGAATATTACAAATTATTAAATGAAGGTAAATTCTGATTTGCCATGGGAAGATGGAGCCCACATCCCACACACAATGGTCCAGTAACATGCTTAGCCAGACCCCATCCTCAACACCAACAAAATATGGAGTTATATTTTTAAAAAAATTAATAATTTTCCCTAATTTTAAGGTTATGTATTTTTTATTTTCTGAATCTTTTTAAATTCGATCGAAATCGTTATAAAATATGTTAGGTTTGTCTTGACTTGTAGTTTTTATTAATTTCACGTGATACATGTTATATAATTGCCTCCTATTAATATCCATATTTTGTAATTTTATTTATCAAAATTTGGATAGATTAAAAAAAATTGCTTAGCAATATTTTTATCTCAACTGAGATTTTGATCTCTTCTCAGTTATTATATATTTGTATATTATCTCACTTTTGTTGTTGTGATAATCGTGATGTCGGAAATAATTTAGACATTTATCAATTAATTTTATGGAATATATGCAACATTGTTATTTATTCTATACTAATATAAATATCAGATAATTGTATATGTCGAAATCTTAATAGATAAAAGAAATTGCATAGTAGTTTGTCTTTGTTAAAATTTGTACTCTTTTCACTTATCGTGTATTCGTATGTGTCATCTTGCTCTTTTTTTTTATTGTAAAAATTGTGGAGTCAGATCAATTTTATGTGATACATGCTACAACGTTATCTTTCAATAATATAAATAAGAGAACTTACATGAATTGAACTAGTTTAGGAGCCAATTACTTAAATACACTATAGTTTGTAATATTACGTATCTTATCAGGTTTTTGTGGTTTCAGATACATCCAGATACATGTATCTCAGATACATGAGATCAAAATTAGGTATAATTTGTTCTATAGATATATTGTATCTAAATGAATTTGCATGTATATGGAATACATAATAAGCTCGCTTGCTTCACTCGCCTCTCTCTTATCTCGCTCGCTACTCTCCCAGTATCGCTCGCCTATTACCTTATTTTATTATATTTGATGGCACGAATAAATGTATCTAATAAGTAAATATTCTAATATATAATAAAAAAATTAATTAATAATAATATACGTAATATTTTAATAATAATAATATGATAATGAAGTATATCTTTGTCCACTAACTATGTATATTTAGATAGACTATCCACAAAAATAGGACATATAAAAAAAAGTTACTTAGACTTTTTATCTATAGAACTTGATCTTGTCTCAGTTATGGTATGATTTTATGCTATTTCACTTTTATCATTGTTATACACTTTTATACCATATATTTACGCTCCACTTTTATTTGTTATATTGTGTTTTTTAAAAGTTAATTTGTCTAATTTTTAAAGTTAAATTAGATTACATTAATTTGATACTTTAAATAAAAAAAATTAGATACTCAAAAATAATATGAAAAGTAATATAAATTGCAATTTTTTGCATATTAATATAATGAAAAAATATACCTTAAAACGTTAATCATAGCTTTTATAGTTTGACTCTAAAAATAGAAATCATGTACAATTAATTGTGGACGGAGGGAGTAATTCTTATGTCTAAATAATTATAAATGAATAATTAACAACCCCCTTTAACCAATTTTTTTAGTTTGATTTTTATATGATGTTTGATACTGATTTTTATATGATGTTTGATACTTATATGGAAGTCAGGTTAATTCAATACACATTACATAGGGCCTCATTCAAAGAAAAGCGTTCTTTATTAAAAAAATTCACGTTATAGCCGTGTGGGGCCTCATTCAAAGAAAAACACCATCTACTAATAATTTTTCTATATCTAAAGCTTGAATTTAATATTTCTAACAAACGAAAACACATCTTTCACTATAGTACATCTTTTGATAGTTTATAATAAAATGAATAGAAAAATCACTATGCAGGATTCCAACTCATTATTTCCACATCTCAAATCCTCTAACATTTTAGAAAATAAATAAATAAATAAAAGCATGCACATGCAATGGAGGCCATATATATAGGGTCCACTTTTTCTTCTTCTTAAATTTTCCAGAATGACCCAAATTTTATTTAAACAAACAAAAATCTACATTCTTGAATGTATTTAAATCAAAGATAATATATGTTAGTAAGTGTATATGTATGATTCTACAGAAAATAAAACTTATAATTTTTTTAGGGGACCATAAAAACCCCATACCCTTTGTTCCCAACAATTGTATAAAAAAAAATAAAAAATCATCATGGACACATGGTGACATGTGATGGGGATGGGATGTCATTTTCCTTCTATTTTTTCCAAAATACATCGATAATAATTATATAATCAGATCACTTATAAAATAATTATAAATTTTTTAACATTAATTAATAGTCTGGTAAAAAAAAAGGGAGGAACCTGTTATCTAAAGTTGAAATATATTGATCATAGAAAATGAAATTTTGGACAGTGTGGCATATATTTAAATCTACTTTGTTGTAGCAAGTTAACATATATTGTACAACAAATTAACTTAATTGTATAAATAGATGAGAAACTTCACTTATTTTCGAAGAAAACATTTTATGTAAATACAATTTTCTTTATATCAAACACACACTTAATGCATATAATTTTTTACAATATTGTTTTTTTTTTGTCTTTTAGTTCTTAATATCTATTAAGACTCGATCAAATTCATTTTCATTCATTATACAGGATATTTAAAAAAGTGATTATTTTAAAAGAATTATTTTTCATTTTCAGAAATTCGAATTTGAAATTTCTAGCTAAAATTTTAAAAGAATATTGATGCATATAGTTTATGAGCCATCTAAGATTGGGGACAGGGGCGAAACCACCTTGGTATAAGGGAGTTCATTCGAACTCCTTTTGAATACTATTTATATTAAAACAATAGTTTATGTATATATAGTAGATATCGGATTCTCTTTAGCTATTTCATGTGTCTAATCTATAAATTTTGAATCTCCTTATTGAAAATTCTGACTCCACCACTGATCGGGGATATGTTTAGGTACCCCACATAGCACTCACAAAATAAAGAAAGTAGGCATTATATGTGGGGAAAATGAACCCTACTTCCCTTAGTCCCCTCTATAAAGCTGGTTAAATTTCACACAATAAAATTTATATATTGCTAGTGTGGTCCATTCAACACATTAATTTGTTTCATTCTCTATATCTATATGACCTATGTCTTTTTTTTAACTCTTCTCTCTTCTCACAAATCAAATATTTTCTCAAATTCTTCTCCTTTTTTTTAAAAAAAAATTGTTCAATTTTTTCTTATATTAAATCTTTAAGAATTGACAAGTTTTACGCTAGCTGTTGATCGATGACGATGACCAAGTCCTAGTCATGCTTTTCCACAGCTTTCTTGAACTTCTTCTTGCTAAATTTTGATCTCTAAATTGATAATTTTGAGATGAGATTTGAAGCTATGAAAGTCCAAGAAAGCTGTGGGAAAAGATGGCAAGCTTTGGACTTATTTTTTTTTTTACATTTTCCTTCCTATGGAGTACACTTTGAAGATAATCAAGCCAAATTTTCATGGTAAATTCTTTTAAATTTTTATAATATATAGTTTTTATTTGTTTTATTAAATTTACTTTTAAATTGTCATGAGTTAGATAATTCAATTACTTAGCATACTTATTATTGTGAATTCTCTTAATTAATTACCTATTGTACACCTTTATATAGTGAATTATGGTTTTTAAGACTTGCTGAAATTAGTTTTGAAAAATCAGCTAGAGCATATATCTTTTCGTCTGAAAATTACATTTAATAATATATGTCGGTTTAAAATTATATATAGAGAGAGTAAATGTTAGTTTTATGGGTAAAAATTCTACTTCTGTCACTAGGAATTAATTGTAATAAATATATTTTTACTGAGTATATATAAAGAATAAATTTAATTTATTTAGTTAAAAAAATTTCTGTGTTCGCCACTAAAACTCAGATCCACATTTTTAAACCATGAAAGGCTTTATTTTTTTTCCTCTTTTTTTTTTTGGTTTATTGTTTCTTGAAAAGGGAAAGGAGAAACTTTTGGATTTTTCTCATTTTGTACACTTATTATTTAATGGAAATTACATTTTCTTTCATTTATTATTTTTTTCTATTTTAATAATATTTTTTTCTTGATTTGCTTGACTTTTTTTTAAAAAAAAATAATCAAAGTGGTGAAAACATAGTGAAAAAAATGGCAGAGAAGATTCGCTTTCATCAATTATTGATATAAATTCATCTTGTTTGCCCTTTTGTTTTTGCTCTCTCTGTGATCTTTTATTCTTTCATACGTTTCAGTGAAAAAATAAATAAATTTAATTTATTTTTGGGTAATAAAAGGTTAAAATTTTGTTACTATATATGAGACAAAAATAAATAATAATAATAATCCTTTTAACCACACCCCTTGTCCTTCTCACTTACCATTTAAAGATATATAAAAACACCTAAAAAGACAAAAATTCTCAATTCTCAATTTAGTTTTTAACACAAAGATTTTAAGTTATATTTATTCACATTTATGAAAAAAATATATATATTAAGCATATGTAAGGCGGTTGAATTAATTGAGAATGATTCCTTTCCAAATTGTGAGATTTTAAATCTCTTACATATTTTCTCAATCAAATTTATCACACGATATATGTCTTTCGTATAATTTATGGGTCATTATACTAAAATGGATTTATCATGTGTGCGTTTAAAAAATATCGATTGTGGATTTCTTGTTATCAAAATTCAGAAATATATGTTATTTTGTTGTTGCTTCTTCTTATTTTATTTCTGTTTTGGTGATAATATATTCTATAAAATTGTGAGTATTAACCTAATGTACTCAAAATTTGTCATTTGTTTATAATTGAACAATTCATGAGAATAGTTGAAGTTAAAATTTTCGTTAAAGAGATAAAAAGAAATACAAAGAAATCCAGAGTTATTGTGAAATTAGGTCTTAAGCCTAACTCACACCCCAAAAGTTTGCTCAAAGGAAGGAGGATTGTCCAAGCTTTATAAGGAGTCCACCCATCTCATTAACCACCGATGTGAGACTTTTGTCATTTAGCATCTGCACCCATCTCATTAACCACCGATGTGAGACTTTTGTCATTTAGCATCTGGTGCGTGGGCAATTTTGATTTTAAGGACCCCAACATCGGGTGAGACGGACCCTGCTCTGATACCATGTGAAATTAGGTCTTAGGCCTAACTCGCACCCCAAAAGCTAGCTCAAAGAGAGGAGGATTGTCCAAGCTTTATAAGGAGTCCACCCATCTCATTAACCACCGATGTGGGACTTTTGTCATTCTTTAACAGTTATTCAATATATTTATACACTTTTTAACCCAAAAAAAAACTTTTATCTTTGTGTAAAAGGTGTAAACTTGATTATTCAATAGTGCTTAATGCTAATTTAGATTCTAATATCTACTAATTAATCATCTTAACTAATTAAGCATTGTTTCAATCTTATAGTAAAAAAAACTTATCTTATACAAAAAAAAAAAAATTGTGTGCGTATATGTATGTAGGGTGGGGGTAAAACTTGATTGCTATCAACATATACAAGTGATAGTTAAGCAATTCATAACAAATTAGAGGAGAAGTAGTTTAACTTACTATATTATTCGGAATCTTTAAAAATATTACGAATATATTTTAAATTCTTTAAAAATAATATATGTGAAAAGAATCTGAGCAGCGTAGGTCTGCGACGTCTAGCCCATAATATATGTATATATAGGTAAATAGTGGAGTAGCTAGCTTAGCTAGGGTACACTATGGTTATTTAAATAGGCCAGACAATAAGGGATGGTTGCTCTGTGAAATTTAAAAAGATATGAGAGTACTACTTTTATTGCATTATTATTTATATAAATAAATATAGTTTTTTTTTTGGTTTAAACACTCAAAACTAATTTCATAAATGTTTGAGGAAGGTGTATGGTAATAAAAATTAATTTTTGGGTGAAGTTATAACTAGTTGATAGTGTTAAGATTTATTTATAGTATGAGCAAATTTTAATCATATGATCAATTATCATTTTTAGTAGGTTATCAACTTATTTTTTTTTCATATCATAAAGATTTACCATGCCCATGATTAAAGTTTGTAAATTTATATATATATATATATATCAAAATTTTATGATATGCATGATACTATTTTTTTCCCCCTC